TCAGTTCTGGTGCAGTTTTTGGCTCATTCCTCCTGGCATTCCTCCCATTTATCCTGAATTTTCTTGTCCCTTTGCAGGGCCAAGGATTGCCTTAAAGCCATCATGAAAAGAATGAATCACAAAGTTCCCCACGTGGCTTTACAAGCTCTCACAGTGAGTAAATCCCCAAATTTCCCCCCAAAAAACCTCCTGCAACGCAGCAATTAAATAATTACTGATCAATTAACCAATATCTTAATTAAATCAGTATCCGTGCTGAATTTACCTTTTATTTTAGATTATTTGCATTATTTTTTTTTTAATTTGCACTTTTTTTTTTTCCCTGAATTTTCCCAATTTTCTTTCTTCTGTCAGCTTTTAGGAGCCTGTGTGTCAAACTGTGGGAAAATATTCCACTTGGAAGTGTGTTCCAGGGATTTTGCCACTGAAGCTCGAGCTATAATAAACAAGGTAATTATTTTAGAACCTTCAATCCTGAGGAATGATTATTATTGAATTTCTCCAAATTAATATTGTGGTTAATGCACATTTTTTAGTTTTGGTGCTGTGTTTGCACTGAAGTTTGTGTGATTTTTACTCTGAAAAAATAAGAGCTGGCAGCTGATAATCCTTCAGATTTTTATAAAATTACATGAGAAATTTTAATTAAAATCTGTGTTGCTAAGCTCCATTAATTTGATCATGGTAAGTGCAGATTTTCTTGAGGAGAATTTTTATTAGGCTTGGAGGAAATTCCTGGGCTGAAGTGAAAGGAAAAATAATGAAGAAGTGAAATAATATTTTTAGATGGATAAAGTTAGAGATAATCATTTTTAGGTTTTAGAGATTCTGGGAATGTTGAATGAGAAAATAACCAAAAAAATGAGATTGAAATGGTTGAGGTCAAGCAGCTGCTGGGATTTAAATGTGGATGTGAGGGATTGAATAAGGAGGAGCAGCTTTTCCCTAATTACTGTGAGTGAAAGGGTTAAAAAGGAATTTTCAGATCCATGGGAGCCCTGCAATCATCAGAGGCTGAGCAAAGCAATTAAGGGAAGAATTAAAATTGCTGGGAAGCAAAATGAGTTCACAGCTCCTGTGGTTCTGGATTTCTGTGGAAAAATAGGTCTGCAAGAATTCCCTTTGTTCCCATTAGGCAGGATCCATCCTGGAGCTCAGCTCTGACCTCCAGCACCCAGGGATGGGCAAAAATCCTGGAATTCCACACAGGGATGGGCAAAAATCCTGGAATTCCACACAGGGATGGGCAGAAATCCTGGAATTCCACACAGGGATGGGCAGAGATCCTGGAATTCCACACAGGGATGGGCAGGGATCCTGGAATTGCACACAGGGATGGGCAAAAATCCTGGAATTCCACACAGGGATGGGCAGGGATCCTGGAATTGCACACAGCGATGGGCAAAAATCCTGGAATTGCACACAGGGATGGGCAAAAATCCTGGAATTCCACACAGGGATGGGCAAAAATCCTGGAATCCCAGGCAGGAATGTTCCAGGATCCTGGAATCTCACCCAGGGATGTGCAGTGATCCTGGAATCTCAGCCAGGAATGTTCCAGAATGCTGAAATCTCACAGAGGGATCCTGGAATCCCGGCCAGGGATGTTCCAGGATCCTGGAATTTCACAGAGGGATCCTGGAATCTCACCCAGGGATCCTGGAATCCCACCCAGGGATGTTCCAGGATCCTGGAATTTCACAGAGGGATCCTGGAATCTCACCCAGGGATCCTGGAATCCCACACAGGGATGTTCCAGGATCCTGGAATCTCCCAGAGGGATCCTGGGATCCCAGGCAGGGCTGGGCTCTGGATCACAGTTGTTGTGTTTTTGGGCAATTCTGACCCTGCTCCCCAGCCCTGGCCCTTTGGAACAATAACAAATCCAATTTTGCTTTTCCCCTGTTGCCAGTGTGAGCACAATCCTGAGCCCAGCAAACTTCCCAGGAGGGCCAGGCTGAGCTCACAGCCCTCACTGGGATCTGATCCCTTGGATTTGGGGATTTTTTGCCACTGCCAGGATCTGGGGAAGAACTGGGAGAGCCACAGGAATTCCAAGCAGAGCATGAATTGATCTTGGTTTGCCCCCACTCCAAGCAAATTTTTTTTTTTTTCCTTTAGCAGGCTCCCAGTTTGGGAATAGAATCTGTCCCTATAGATTATCCCTATAATAATAATAGGATAAATAATAAATGAAGGATAATTCTTTTTTATGGGAGAAGTTGATTCAAGGAGACACAAATCAGATTTTTGTGAGGTTCCCTTAGCTGGGACAAAACCTGTCCTGGGATCTGAGGAGAAACTGCAGAGGCCAGAAAAGGGGATTGTAGGGAAAGAATTCTTGTAGGGAAAGAATTCTTGTAGGGAAAGATTCATTGTAGGATTTCTTGTAGAAAAAGATTCATTGTAGGATTTCTTGTAGGGAAAGATTTCTTGCAGAGAAAAGTTTCTTGCAGGGAAAGATTTTATGTAAGGAAAGATTTCTTGTAGGATTTCTTGTTGGGAGAGAATTCTTGTAGGATTTCTTGTAGGGAAAGATTTCTTGTAAGAAAATATTGTTTATAGGGAAAGATTTCTTGTAGGATTTCTTCTAAGCAAAGATTTTTTTTTGTAGGCAAAGATTTCTTGTAGGATTTCTTATAGGGAAAGATTTTTTGTAGGGGAAGACAGTGGCTTATATCAAATCATTTTATGTGGTTGGGAAGTGGAAAACAACACACCCGAGAAGGAATGAAGAGAAAATTGAGGTGAAATGTAGGGTGAGTAACACAGAGAGGCAGAAATTTGGGATCAGTGTGGTAGGCAGCCTGAATTTCTCCAGAATTAGTGCTCCAGGAGCTCAGCATGTTCTCTGGAATATCAGATCAGGGTATAATATTAAAGGTCAGATATTCCACACTCAGCTCCCCAAAATCTGCTCAATCAACACAAATATTCATGATTAAGGATATTAATAATAAAATAGGTTTGGTAACAGCTCCTTGAGGCTCTAACATCCATTTTTATCCAATTTGATCTTCCAGGCTCACCCCAAAGTGTGTGAAAAGTTAAAATCCCTCATGGTGGAGTGGTCAGAAGAATTCCAGAAAGATCCACAATGTAGCTTAATATCTGCAACCATCAAATCCCTGAAGGAAGAAGGGGTGACTTTTCCTGCACCAGGATCCCAGGTAGGAGCTGCTTTGGGATGGATCCCATGCTCTCATTCCGTTTCCCAAATGCCATTTTCCTCTTTGTCCCATTTCCTGTCCATGCCAGCAGTTCTCCTGAATTTGGAGTGGTTTATTTTTTATTTCTGGTGGTTTGTTGTTCCCAATCTAACAGCAGATCTGATGCCAGGTGTTTTTTTGTTTTTTTTTTTTCCTTTTTGTTATTGCTACTTCTAAATATTTTCATGTTACTCAAACCTGAAAATTAAAATTACAATTTCCTTACTTTCCTTTAGATGAAACACAGAATTTTTAAACTTTTACAAACCCTGTGAGTTTTTTAACTTACAAACCCTGTGAGTTTTTTAACTTACAAACCCTGTGGGTTTTTTAACTTACAAACCCTGTGAGTTTTTTAACTTACAAACCCTGTGAGTTTTTTAACTTTTACAATCCCTCTTTCCTCCACAAAGATGTTTTCACTTCTAAATCTGATCTATGTGTAAAACATATGGCAGAAACATGGAAGAGCTGAGCACTGGCACCCAATTCCAGTTCCTGGTGGGAATGAAAACTCCAGGAATGATTTCACTCTGCTGGCTGGGGAAAATTGTAGGATTTAAGTCAGCAGCTCCCAACTGGAGCATCTTATCTTTTGAAGGGAGGAATGAAGGATAAAGGTGGAAAGAGTCATTTAAATGAATAATAAATATAATTAAAATAATAATTTCAATAAAATCAGTTATTTCAGTTAAATCTCATTATTTCTTTCACTTTTTTTTCCCCTGCTGAAAACAGAAAAAAACCTGAAGGGTGGTGATTTTTATTTCTAGGAGATCACCTGGATTCCATAATCTACCTGATCAAGAACAACTCAATGCTAATTTAAAAAAAAAAATATAATTATGGATATTTTTCTGTTGTTGCCACCTTTGCAGGCTTCCACCAGTGCTGCCAAGAATGGCTCCTCATCCAGTAAATCCAAAGAAGATGAGGATATAGCTAAAGGTGAGTTCTCTCTCAGCCTTGGGTTGAACTCCAGAAGTTTTGTTAAAAAGCAGGGAAATGGCAATTTGGGGCTGCACAGAATTGCAATCAAGGGCAGGGTTGGGAATTGTGGCATTCCAGGAATTCCCCTCATCCATGAGGATTTGGGGGTAAGACACAAAAACCCCATAAATCCCAGAACATTTTAAACCTTAACTTCCAATACTCCAGATACACACCTTCTTTAAACAAAACAATAAACCCTCTTTTTATAATAAACCCAAACTTGCTTTTCCTCCAGGGATAAAACCTCTCTCAAAACTTGTTGTTTTCCTCTCTGCCCCCACCTGCAGCTATTGAATTATCTTTGCAAGAGCAGAAGCAGCAGCAAATGGAAACCAAGCCCTTGTACCCAGCTGCAGAAATGGCACCAAACCCCCCGAGCCTGAGGAAGGTGCGAGCTCTCTATGACTTTGAAGCTGTGGAGGACAATGAGCTCACCTTTAAAAGTGGAGAAATTATTTTTGTTTTGGATGACAGGTACAATACACTCAGGTGGAGCTGGCTTTGTTGAACCATTCTTGTTTTCTCCAGGGAAAAACGTTTTTTGGGTTTTTTGTTTTTTTTTTTTTCATCTGATGATTTTCTTCCTCCCCTCCCACACACACAAATGTAATTGTCACTCTGCCCTCCCTCTCATCCCTTTCTCTTCCTTCTCTCTTTCCCAAAATCCAAAATTCTGACCTCAAATCATTTTCAGTGTGAGTATTTCATCCACTTTGTAGTTTTGAAGATTAATCTTAATTGGTTGTCTGACATAAGGAAATGCCTTGGCATCACATTCCATCTGCTTCCAGCAATTGTTAAACCTCTGGCTATCAAGAATCAAGTTTGCCAAGAATAAAACTGATTAAAAACAGCTCAAAAAATGATTGTTGTTAACACCTGTAGGGATATATATACAGCTTTAAAGGGCTGCCAAGTCATCAGTGTAAAGAATTGGTGAATTGTGTTCAATTTTCAGTGATCCCCTGATCCCTTTTCCTCCCTTCCCTCCCCTCTGCCCCAGCTCCTGTTTGGCTTTGTGCTAATCCCTGCAAATGTTCTTTTAGATATCACAGGGTTTTGGTAAAAAAAAAAAAAAACACCACAGATCTATCTCTGAAGCTCAAGTTTTCAGTAAAAACCCCAAACATATCCCTGGCTCTGTTCACCCCAGAGTTCTGTAACCTTCCTTTATTTCCCCAGTGATGCCAATTGGTGGAAAGGGGAGAACCACAGAGGAGTGGGGCTGTTCCCATCCAACTTTGTCACCTCTGACTTGACAGTGGAGCCCGAGGCAGGTGAGTTACCTGCTGAAATGGTTGATGGATTATTTCCTGATTATTTGTGCTGCAATCCTAATTAGCCCAGCAGCAAAATAATTTCATCTATCAGCCCCAGGAAAGAGCTGAGCCATCCTGCCCTTGTTTTAAACAATCAAGCAAAGATCACTGAATAACTCCCTTTAATTTCTGCCTCTGTTTCCCTTTGAAGAAATTTGGTTCGATTCACCAGAATTCCTTGTCAGCAACGTATTTACAAATGCAGCAAATTGCCATTTCAAATGTCACCTTGTCTTTTCACACAGAAGAATAACAAGGAGCAAATGTTTGTTTGAAGTTAGCACAGCAACAGGGAGAAAAGAAACTCCTCTCTGTTCTTTCAGCAGCTGTGGATAAAATCTCTGTTCCTGAGGACAATGCAGAAGAAATCAAGAAAGCAGAACCTGAGCCAGTTTATATTGATGAGGTATGGAGCCACTTTAAAAATCAAATTTTGTCGGGCTTTTCCATTCTTTTGGTGCTGAATGTTGGCAGATGATTCTTTATCTGTAAAGAACTTTTTTATTTGAATATTAAACCAATCTTGGAGTGGCTGAGAAATCAAAGTTCTTCATCTTGGCTTCCCCTTTCAGGAGAAGATGGATAAAACACTGCAGGTGCTTCAGAGCATAGATCCCACGGATTTAAAGCTTGATTCTCCAGATCTGCTCGACTCAGAAGGTACTTGCAACACTAAATGAGCTCTTTTTTTATGACTTCTCCTCACAATTACCTTTTGTGGATTGAGCTGGGAGTTCTTTGTGTTTATTTTAAGCTCAGGGGAGCTGTGCTCTGTACTAACAGTGCTGGAGAACACTTATTTCACTGTGGGAGTGTGGGGCTCTGGGGATAATTTGAATTTTTTTAATAGTTCCAAGCCAGCTCCATGTTTAGCAAGATCATTTGCATAACTCCCAGCTCTGTAAAATGCCTGAGCTTTGTAAAATCCATCTACCAATCCCAACCCTGAAATAAATAAGCAATTAATTTTACTGTAGCTGGATAAAATACTTTTGGCTGCATTTAAACATTTAATTGTGCAAGACATCAACTGCCTCAACACTTTGTCTTCACAGATATCTGCCAGCAGATGGGTCCAATGATAGATGAAAAACTAGAAGAGATAGATAGGTGAGAACAATTTCTTCAATGATTTCCTTCAGATTGGGCAGTTTTAATCATATTTTTTTGGTCCTTTCATCTCTTAAGATAAAAAAAAACATGCAAGAAAAATTTAACAACTTCACCTTTGTGTGCACTGAGATTTGATTGCTGCTCTCCCCAAATTCACTGCACAGGTCATGGATGGGTTTTTTTTATTTTGCCATTTTGTTACTGTAACCTTCTCCAGCCTGTCCAGAGGATGGAATTTTTATTTTCAGAATTATTCCATGTTCTCCTTAGGAAGATGGAGAGGGGACAAGGGATGGAGGGACAGGACACAGGGAATGGCTCCCAGTGCCAATTTTGGGAATTGGGAATTCCCAGATTTGCTGTGGCTGCCCCTGGATCCCTGGCAGTGCCCAAGGCCAGGCTGGAATAATCTGGGACAGTGAAAATGCCCATGGCAGAAGGATCCCTTCTAACCCAAACCATTCCATGATTCTGTGACTCCTGGGAATATTTAGGGCTGGAAAAACCAGGGAATTCCACCTGGGAATTGCAGCTTTGGTGCCAGCAATGTTCGTGCAGCTCTTGCATTTTCCTTCCAGTCACGCCACAGCAACTTTTCAATATAAATGGGTAAAAAAAAAAAAAAAATTAACCTTTTACCTTTCAGGAGCTTTTTTTTTTTTTTTTGCATATTTAATGCATCACTGTTCTTTCCTCCCCACCTGATATGTCAGAGCAGCTCAGTGCCCTGTCCCTTTGTTTTTGGAGCAGGAAACATTCCGAGTTATCCGAGCTGAACGTGAAGGTTCTGGAAGCTCTGGAGCTCTACAACAAACTGATGAATGAGAGCCCCATGTACTCAGCTTATTCCAAACTCCAGCACCCTGCACAATTCCCACCCACCTCCTCTGTGCAGGTCAGTATCCCTGAAACCTGGAAATTCTCTGGAATCTGGAAATTCCCTGGAATCTGGAAATTCCCCCTGCTACTTATCCCCATTTAAAAAAAAAAAAAATCACAGCAAAACCTGAAGGGAGCAAAATTGACATTGCCTTTGCAAGAAATTGGGATTTATGCACTAGAACAGAAGGTTTTTGCTTGGGCACTGTTGAAAATTCCAAAAGATCCCTTTCCATAATTCATTTCTTGCAGTTGGAATTGGGTGTTGCAGCAGCTTGGTGGATATTCTTGCTGTGAGTCATGTCAATCTCCAAGTAAAATGTTCCCTTCTTATCTAATAGTGAGGATGGGAGGGAACTGGAATATCAGTCTATTAATCCATTTTTTTTGCTAATTATAGAAACATTCTGCTTTTAGTTCCTTTTGCCCTTAGAAAAAAAAAAAAAAATGAACATTTTGTATCAGTTCCAAACACGTTGTATTTGTGCTCCAAACTGTTCCACACTGTCCCTAATGATGGCTTAAAGGAAGAACCATGGAGGGGAAAGAGAGATTTTTCAAAAAGCACAGAATGAGGGTTTTTACTTGAAGTGAATTTTACTTTCATGTTAATTGTTCAGTGGGAAAAGAATAGTTGCCATGGCAACTGCTAGATCTGAAAATATGTCAGTTAAAAGTAATTCCGTGTCCTTAACTCCCAGGAACGATGGAAAATTCATTATATTTGGAGGTTACAAAGTAATTTAAGCCAAAAGGCAACTGCAGTTTGCTGTTTCTTCCCAAAACTGGTGCAGAGAAATGCAGGATAATGCTGGGCTTGATTTGGGATCAAACCTGTTCATCCCAAATCCAAACCCCACCAGCAGCTCCACCTGAATTTCCAGGCAATCTTGCATTATTTCAACCAGAACTGGAAGAAACAGCAGGTTTTGCTTCCAGCTTTAGAATATCGTGGTGGGTTCATTGCAAAGTGAGCCAAGCACCAAATCTGCTGGGTTTGATTTGATTTGCAGTCGTATCCTGTGCAGCCTCCCAGTGGGAATTACCTGATGCAGGGAGTGTCCCTGTCCCCAGGGTACAGCCTGGCCCCCGAGCACGTGGCCCAGGTGAGGTCTCTGCCCCAGAGCATCAACTCTGCAGCCAGCCAGCCACCTCCAGCTGCTTATTTAAGGTATGGATCCAACCCATCCTTCATCCTGGGAGGGGGAATTCTGCCACTTTGCACGTTCTCGTGGCCTTTACACTTACCAACACATCGTTTTCGAGAGGAAAATACTGATTTTACTAAACCAGGGAGCAATGAGAGCATTGTTCTGGATCCTGCACCACGAGGTTTCCCAGGAAAGTTTATTTAAGAGAGGAAGGTTGAAAAGGAACCTCTGATTTTGGCTTTAATCACCCAGCACCAAAGATTAAAAATTAAATAGCAATAAGTTAAAGAGTATGTTAGAAAGCAAGAGTAAAAGTTAGAAAGAAAGAGTGAGTTAGAAAGCAAGAGTGAAAGTTAGAAAGAAAAGAGTTAGAAAGCAAGAGTAAAAGTTAGAAAGCAAGGGGTAAGTTGGAAAAAGAGAGAGTAAAAATCAGAAAGAGTAAAAGTTAGAAAGCAAGGGTGAGTTGGAAAAAGTAAGTTAGAAAAAGCAAGAGGAAATTAAAAGTTACGTAGTAGAGTTATTGAGGTGCTGGAAGAATTTTGAGGGTGAAAACGTTTTTCCTGTATAAACCATAAAAAGCTGTCCCGTTCTGGGCATGGAAAGTGTGGAATTGCAGGGAAATCTGTGAGCAGGGAGGAGTCCCGGGAGGGGAAGTGCAGGGCCAGGCTGATCCCATTGGAGAGCGTGCGTGTAAACCTCGTTATTTCCATAACCACCAAAACACGAAACGCCTTCAGCAAGGAGCCTTCGGATCGAACGTGTGTTCGGGAGGCTCCCAGCTGGTTTTTTTTTTGGGGGGGGGTGAGCAGTGGTGCTGTGGGGGTTCTGGGCTGGCCCTGTCACCGTGGTGTCCCCACAGCCCCCCCGACCCCGCGCTGCCACCGCCCTTCGCCAGCGCCGCCTTCCCCCAGCACCAACAGCAGCAGCAGCACATGGGCATGGCCGTGGACATGGCAGCGTTCCAGGGCGGCCAAGGACCACCCTACCCCGGGCAGCTCCCTGCTCATTCCCTGCTCCAGCAGCAGCCAGCGAATTTCCACCAGCAGCCTCTGCTTTGAACAGCCAGCGTGGAGGAATTCCGACCCGGCCGTGGATATATCCAAGTCCATTTTCCTCTCAAATAACTCAACTCGCTGTGTTAGGGTGATGCAGAGTAAAAATAGGCACCAGCTCTGATGGTTATTTGCATTTTTGCATCCTGAACTAGATTTAGGGGATGGTTTAAAATAATTCCCCGTTCCTCCGAGTCCTTTTTTTTTTTTTTTTTTTTTCTCTCTCTCTCTCCCCTGCGCTTTCAGGAAACGCCACTTGTGAATCTTTGAAAGATTGTCCCAAAATAATTTCTCTTTTCAATGTGTTTCTGGAAGCTTGAGGATGCTGAGATGCTGTTGCTTTACCTCCTCTGGTGTCTTCTGTAATCCTTCTGTCCCAGTGGCTTTAGGGAATCTCTGCAATTCTGAGTCCCCTTTTCAGGGAATCTCTGCAATTCTGAGTCCCCCTTTTCCTGAAGGATGCACCGAGGGATCCCTGGCTCCAGCTGCAAGAGGAAACTCTGCCACCCAGGACCACATCCCTGTGGAAATAAGAGAAAAAGAGAATTTGAACAGTGCTGCCTCTTTATTTCAGAAAACACAGAGAATTGCTGTGTTTTTTTTTCCTGAGGAAAACAAGATTTCCTGGCATTCCCTGGTGTCTTGGCAGGGGTGGCACTGCCAGCACGAGGCTCCTTGGGAAGAGCAGGCAGGGGATGCTCCCAGCTGCCTGTGTGGGCACTGTGGAACTTGCACAGAACCTCTTCCCAGTTTTCCTTTCAGTTTGGATGGATGTAGAAGTGAAGGAGCAGTGGAATTCCTTGTGGGAAGCTGCTGAGGACTCTGAGGATTTGTTCCCTTTCCCAGGGGGAGCTGAGTGGAACAGGAATGATCTTGATGGGACCATGGAGGGGGTTCTGCCTCTCTTGGATTTCTTTTCTGTGCCCCTGTGTGAAGAAGCCCTGACCCCAGAGGAGCTCCTGCACCCCTTGGGCAGGGGGATTGCAGCACATGCCATGTGCTGGGGGGTGGGGAAGGGCTCTGTGCTCCTGGAAAAGCAGAGCCCTGTCCCTGCAGGAGGGGATTGCTCAGAGCTGGGCACACGTGCCACTTGGTGAGACAAGAAATCCAAGAATTTCTTCCCTGATGCACTTTTGAAAGGGTGGGGTTTGTCCATGGGAGCAGATGAGCTGGATTATCCTTTGGGGATGTGGGATTTCTTTATTTTTCTTGTTTCAACTGCTAAAAAAAAAAAAAAAAATCACTTCATCCTCCTGTTTACCTCCTCACTGGAGCATGGTCACCTTTATCCTGCTTTTAACCACCTCAGGTGAGTTACAATAATATAATCCTTGGTTTGGGGAAATAATAGAAACAAATTACTGATAAAAACATCTCAGTTAAATGCAGGAAGCTCCCAGATGTCGAAATAAGCATTTTTGATGGATAAATTTCATCTCAGATTGGAACTCCCAGGCTGCTGAGTGACAAAACCCACCCTTCCCTCAGCACCTCCTCCATTTATTTCCCTTTTTATTTAATTCTTTCCTATCTTGACCTTCTATTTGCAGCCTCATGCTCATGCAAAAAAATGTTCAGCACCTGCTCTTTAAATCACTTTTTTTATTTAAATGTGTGCAATTGGAAGGAGGATTTTGTCTTTCCTTTGGACATGACTTTAATTTGTCTTGATCCTTCCCCTGGAAGTAGCTCAGTACAAAATAACACACGTGGCAATACTGAAGTATTTTGATAATTTGTTCCTTGTGTCTTTTGAGGAAATGAATTTATTTCCATGCTGCTGTTCCAAATTCTTCTTGTTTTGGAGCTTTTATTTGTCAGAGTTTACTTTGTTCCAAGTTGGTTTGGGGTCAAGCTAAACCTTGCTCCTGTTGCTACGAATTCTTCACATTAGGAAATTTAAATTGGTGATTTTTTGGGATTCTGAGCTTTGGGCCAAGAGAAATCTTCGATTGAGCCAGCCAGATGTGATTTGATGATGTTCATTGTTAAGTATAAATAATGTATATACTCATTTGTCTGAGATTTTCTACACACCTCCACACATGCCTGAACTTTTATAAAAGCAAGATTTGTCCTTCTGTCACCTCTTCTAACTCCGTGATATGCAACTTGTAGATAGTGTAAAATAATTTAATTATTATTAAACCAGTGTATCTAGAGGGGGTTGGTGTTTCTCTTCATACTTCTAAGACATGATCATATTTATTTTTAAGGCCTGATTGTAACTGAACATGCTGCCAAAGGATTTCTCTAACTCCAGATTTCTACCTTAGGTTTCTACCTGCTGTTTTCTATCAGGAATTCAGGGTGGAGAACTCCTGCTTTTTCATATAAACCCTTCACATAGGAACCTGGGCGACTTTCTAATGAGACTTTTCATGTGATTCATTTGTTTCATGGGTGTTAAACATCACCTTGGGATCCATTTCCTTCTGTGTGAGCTGGGGTCCCGTTGTGTCTGTTCACTTTGTCACCCCAGAGTGCTCCTGATGTCACCCACGCTTTGTGTCTCCAATTGGCACCAGAAATAATGTTAAAAATCAGATTATTGGAACCTCCCAAGTGCTGTCGTGTGTTCTTTGTGCTGCTGGGGGGGTGGCCCTGGGTTTGTGGGACTCTGGCCTCTCTCAGGGGTTATTTCCTCCGATGATTTTCTTGCCTTGTTTTTATCTGTGCATCTTTTCTAAGAACTGCCAGGCACTGCCCCTGCTTGCACTGAGAGGTGAGATGAGTAACAAACACACCCAGGAGAATTCCCTGCCCACAGAGGCCAGAGCTGAGTCCTGTGATCGTGGCTGAGAGTTCTGGCTCATCCCAAAAAATCAGAGTCAATCCCTGGGCTTGAACCCTGCTGCTCTAGGTGTGCATGGACACAGAAAACACCTGCAAGGCGCCCCAAAATTTGTCATTTACACATCAATCACTGATTTTCATCTTTTTTTTTACAGCCCTTTGGAGCTTCTGACCCCAGTGGTTGATTTGGGGTCACTTCAGGCTGGAAGTCAACCTTTAAAAAGCCAAATCCTATCCTGAATTCTTGGGAAAAGCTGCTTTGTTTTTCCTTCTGAATCCCAACGTGATCCATGGGGTCTCTGGAGAGAATCTTTCCCTGGGAAATCGGCCACGCCACGCTTAAAGTTTCTAGAATTGCCTTCCTAGGACCAATGCAGTGATGAAACTGTAAAAATAACCTAATTTAAACGGCAGCCTCGGTGCCCCACATGCGGCTTGGACGGAGAATCCTGGCTGCTCGTTCCAGCCAAGGAGTGGAAGGATTGGGGAGTGTGGAGGAGGCTGGGCAGGGCTGGCTGGGTGTGCTCAGAGCGTGCAGGTGTGGGTGAGCTCACCCCTCCATGTGCACATTGCTCATCGCTCATCCCAGTGGGAGGTGTGATGTGCCTGGAGGTGAAGCTCAGCAGTGGGAAGCAGGAAATCCAGGTCCTGCTTCCAAATCTTCCTCAGATTTCAGCTCCCAGCACACCCGTCTCCTGATTTAGCTTGTTTTCCTTTCCTCCGTGCCCTGGGAATGGGAGCTCTCTCCGTGGCTGGAAGTTGGTGCTGATGGATTTGGGAAGTTGGGAAGTGGGGTTGGGGCTCAGCTGGAGGGGTCCGGGTGGGCTCCGAGGGTGCTGCTTGCCCAGGGCATCCCCCCATGGCAGGGACATTAAATCCCATCCCAATCCAGGGGCAGGGACACCTCCCACTGTCCCAGACTGCTCCAAACCCTGTCCGGGAAGGGATGGAATCATGGAATGGTTTGGGTGGGAAGGGGTGTAAGGATTTCCCAGGGACACCTTCCACCGTCCCACATTGCTCCACCTGGCCTTGGACACACCCGGGGATCCAGGGGCAGCCACAGCTCCCCTGGGAATTCCCAATTCCCAATATCCCATCCATCCCTGCCGTCTGGCAATGGAAGCCATTCCCTGTGTCCTGTCCCTCCATCCCTTGTCCCCAGTCCCTCTCCAGCTCTCCTGGAGCCCCTTCAGGCCCTGCAAGGGGCTCTGAGCTCTCCCTGGATCCTTCCCTTCTCCAGGGGAACATTCCCAGCTCTCCCTGGATCCTTCCCTTCTCCAGGGGAACATTCCCAGCTCTCCCTGGATCCTTCCCTTCTCCAGGGGAACATTCCCAGCTCTCCCTGGATCCTTCCCTTCTCCAGGGGAACATTCCCAGCTCTCCCTGGATCCTTCCCTTCTCCAGGAGAACATTCCCAGCT